CCGACTTCGGCTCGGGTCACCATCTCACGGCTCCTGAGTTCGAGCCCCGCGTCGGGCTCCGTGCCGACAGCTCGGAGCCCGGAGCTGCTTCGGGCTCTGTGTCTCCCTCTCTCTCTGCCCCTCCCCCGCTCAAGCTCTGTGTCTCTTTCCCTCAAAACTGAAGACACATGAAAAAATCGTTTTTAACTGCGAAAGCTCTTGAGGCACGCGATCAGAGCCCGCAGAGAGGCCGCGCTGGCTTCGCTGAGAGCGGGTCTGAGGGCCCATCTCACGGCAGCTCGTCGGCACCCAGGGCCTTTGTTCTCCTTCGAAACGCCACGGACGAAGACTGTATTTCTACCTCGTTTTTTGCTGATTTAATTCCCGAGAACGAACCCTCTGCCACATTTGTCACATTCCTCGTCCCCACGGTAGACGCCCTCTGGGCACACGGGTCCTTCAGCAGGGACCCCCAGAGTCCCCTTCGATGCCGCCGCGCCCCCACCACGGCTCGCTCCGTCCGCCGCCGGCAGCCCCCGATCGCTCCCGCTCCCGCTCCCGCATCTCCCAGAGCCACCCCTGCTCCCCCTTCTGCCCCGCCTTCCCGGCCTCCGTCATCTTGCACCCGGATCTCCGCGACGCCGACTTCCGTTGCCCCGGCGGCCGCACCAGACCGCCCGTCCCCAGTCTCCTCTTCGCGCGGCGCGGCCCGAGCAGCGCGGGCCAGATTCGATCAGACGTCACGAGCCCTGCTCGAAACCCGTCCGCTCGCCCCGTCGAGCCGCGGTCAACTGGCGCCTGACACGGACCTCCGGGCCTCACGTCGGACCCCTGCCCTCCGCCGGCCTCCTCGCCTCGCGAGGACGTGTCCCCACGCCCCCTGCTCCGGGCCCCGGTCCTCAAAAACTTCCTCGCGCGATCCCCGCCCAAGTTTCCACCGCGGCTGCCGGGGGGCCTCGCCGATGACCTCACGCCCCTCACTCCTCCCTCCCACGGCGCCCCGCACGCTTCCGCACGACTCATCGCACGGCTCGTGACACGGCTCCTCGTGTCGGCCCCCCTCCACACGCTTCGACGCGGTTCCTCGGCGTGCACGCCGTCCCTCGCGGTTCCCGAAGGGTCCGTACGGCGCCGCGTACGGCTCCGCACACGCACCTCCCACACGGAGCCCGCGCGATTTTCCACGGCCTCACGTGCGTCCCCTCGGAGCCTCTTGCGGTCCTCCGCGCGAATCTCTGGCACGGTCTGTTCCACAGACCGTGCGTGCCCGGCCCCAGAAAGTTCCTCACGGCTCCTCAGGCACACCCCTTCTCCTGCTGACTAGGAGGGGAGCGCGTGCCCAGAGCTGTGCCAGGAACGGCGTGATGAACCGCACCGAGGCCGCGCGGGGGACTCTGAGGAACCGAAGAGAACCGTGTGGGGGGTCGTGGCCTGTCCTTCCCACGGTTTTCCGCCCGTCCCCACACGGCTCCCGCACTTGCCCACGGCGTTGCCCGCGCTTCCACACCGTCTCCCAGAGTTCACGCACGTTTTCTCACGATTCCTCACACAGTTCCCCACACGGCTCTATCACGGTTTGCCACGCAGTTTCTCTCCCGTCCTCCCAGCCCCCCACGCCCAGCTCCACCCGGTTCCTCGCGCTCCCCAACATGGCTCCCCCCGTCGTCCCAGAGCTCCGCACCGCCCTCCAAAAATGTCCTCCAGAGTCTCTCACGCGCTTCCCACGCGGTCCGCCCACACCATTCCACACGCTTCTTACGGCTCCACGAAGCGCCTCCCGGCTCTCCACCTACACCCTCGGCTTCTCTCACGGTTCCTCGCACGTTCGTCACACCGTCCTTGCCTGGTTTCCCACGAAGCTCCGCACACAGGCTCGCGCCCCGTTCTTCACGGTCCCCTCACACGCGTCCACACACTCTCACACGCTATTCCCCAGAATTCCTCACACAGCTAGCTCCCCGCACACCTTCTCACGCGCTTCCGCACACTTCCGCGTGCCGTCCCCGCACGGCTCTTTATAGGCCCCGGGAGTGTTCCTCTCGCTCTCTCCCGTAGTTCCCGACGCTTTCTTCACACAGTTCCTCCCGGTTCCTCAGTCTGTCACACGTTTCCTCTCACGGTTCTTCCCAGTGCCCTCAGGTCCCCACAGAGTCCCTCGCGCAGTTCCGCGCAGTTCTCTCTCACGCGCTTCTCCACTAACGCCTCACAATTCCCCTCCTAAGTCACCACTTTTGCACACACCATCCACACCACCACTCCCCACACGCTTCCTACGTGGCTCCTCACACGGTTCCTTACAGTCCTTCACACGGTTCCTCACGCTTCCCCACAGTTTCCCACACGGTTCCTCAGAGCTCCTCACGCCTCAGGCTGTCACACACACGCAGCCGCACAGTTGCTCACGTTCTCCATACAGCTCTTGCCCGGTTCCTCACACCATCCACGCAGCTCCTCACGGTTCTTTCACGGCGTTTCACGCATCACTCCCCACTTCATACGCTTCCTCATGCAGGTTCCCTGGACAACTCCCCACGGATCCCCAGAGGTTGCTCACATGGTGCCTCTCACAGACCGCAGTTCCTCGCACAGCCCTCTACGCAGCTCCTCAGAGATCCCTCACACCATCCCCACGCTGTTTCACACAGAGTCCCACGGTGCCTCACGCGGTCCACATACAGTTTCTCACAATTCTTCACATGTATTCACATGCAATTCCCACAGATTTCCCGACACAGCATGTCCAACTCCCAGCACAATTCCTCCCGCGGTTCCTCACAGTTCCTCCCACAGTTCTTCACACGGTTCCTCACGCGGTTCCTCACACGGTTCCTCACGGTTCCTCCCGCGGTTCCTCACAGTTCCTCCCACGGTTCCTCCCGCAGTTCCTCACGCAGTTCCTCACGGTTCCTCCTGCGGTTCCTCACACAGTTCCTCATCCAGTTCCTCACAGTTCCTCCCGCGGTTCTTCCCACAGTTCCTCACATGGTTCCTCACACAGTTCCTCCCGCGGTTCTTCACATGGTTCCTCACGGTTCCTCACGGTTCCTCCCACGGTTCCTCACGGTTCCTCCTGCAGTTCCTCCCGCGGTTCCTCACAGTT